CCATCCTATCAATGATTTCTCTAATCAGGTGATATCTGTGGAGCACGTGCTTAGATCTTTGATGAGACCTAGGTTCCTTTGACTGCGCAATGGCTCCAGTGTTGTCGCACAACAACTGTATGGGCTCATCCACGCTTGGAAACACCCTAAGTTCAGATATGAACTTCTTGATCCACACGGCCTCCTTAGCCGCTTCTGAAGCAGCTATATATTCAACTTCTGTCGTTGAATCTGCTGTTGTCTCCTGCTTGGAACTCTTCCAAGATACTGCCCCACCATTTAAGGTGAATACGAACCTTGACTGTGACTTGCAGTCATCTTTGTCACTCTGAAAGCTGACATCAGTGAACCCTTTCACTGTTAGCTCATCAACCCCACCATAGACCAGAAACACATCCTTAGCTCTTCTTAGGTACTTAAGGATGGTCTTGACTGCCGTCCAGTGACCCTCTCCAGGGTCCGACTGGTATCTGCTCGTAATGCTTAAAGCATATGAGACATCTGGTCTCGTACATATCATGGCATACATGATGGATCCAGTAGCCGAAGCGTATAGAATTCCACTCATGCGATCCTTCTCAGCCTGTGACTTAGGACACATGGCCTTTGAAAGATGTACCCCATGACTAACGGGAAGAAAACCCCTTTTGCGACCCTTCCATGCTAAACCTCTTTAGCATCTTGTCAATATACGTGGATTGAGATAAACCCAGCAGCCTATTTGATCTATCTCTATAGATTTTTATACCAAGTATAAAGGCCGCCTCTTCCAAATCCTTCATGGTGAAGCTTTTTGAAAGCCACTCTTTCGTTGTTTGTAATGTGGGGATGTCATTTCCTATTAACAATATGTCATCTACATAAAGTACTAGGAAGACGACATTACTCCCACTAACCTTCTTGTAAACACAAGGTTCATCCTCGTTCTAGATAAAACTGTTACTCTTAACTACTTCATCAAAACGAATATTCCAACTCCTTGATTCTTGCTTTAGCCCATATATCGACCTTTGAAGTTTGCATACCATATGCTCCTGATCTTTGATTTCAAAGCCTTCAGGTTGTGTCATGTACACATCCTCCTTCAAGAACTCATTCAAGAAGGCGGTCTTGACATCCATTTGCCAAATTTCATAGTCGTGATATGCCGCTATTGCAAGCATGATCCTAATAGATTTGATTATGGCAACAGGTGAGAAAATCTCATCATAGTCAACTCCTTGCCTTTGACGATACCTTTTCGCAACCAACCTAGCTTTGTAGGTCTGAACGTTGCCATCTGCATCAGTCTTTCTTTTAAAGACCCATTTGTTACCAATAGGAACTATTGCTTGCGGTTTAGGAACCAAGGTCCATACCTTGTTTTGATACATCGAATCCATTTCAGATTCCATGGCTTCAAGCCATCTAGAAGAGTCAACATCCTTGACTGCCTCTTCGTAGTTACTTGGTTCATCATCCTTGACGGTTTGTTGATTCTCAATCATAAACCCATACCTCTCAGGTGGATGGATGCCCCTCGTTGACCTACAGAGTTGTGTGTTTACTTCTCCATTGGAGAACGTCGCCTGCGGAGCAAACTCGGGTTCCTCAATCTGTTCATGTGGTTTTTGAACTTCTTCAAGATCAATCTTACTCCCACTCGCTCCTTGAGAGATCAAATCCTTCTCAAGGAACTCAGCATTCTTTGACACAAACACTTTGTGTTCATCCATGGAGTAAAAGTAGTATCCCTTAGTACCTTTGGGATACCCCACAAATAGACATTTAGTACTCTTAGCACTAAGCTTGTCTGATGCCAACGCTTTGACATAAGCTGGCGATCCCCATACCCTGAGGTAACTCAGGTGGGGTCTCTTACAATTCCATATCTCATATGGTGTGGTCTGAACAGATTTAGACGGTACCCTATTTAGAAGGTATGCCGCTGTATCTAGGGCATATCCCCAAAACGATTTTGGAAGTTGAGTCTCACTCATCATAGACCTGACCATGTCTAACAAGGTCCTGTTTCTCCTTTCGGAGACACCATTTTGGTGTGGTGTGTAAGGTGTAGTAAACTGCGAGAGATTTCCATTTTCTCTCAGATAATCCTGAAACTCATGGCTCAGATATTCACCACCACGATCTGATCGTAATGTCTTAATCATCTTGCCACGCTATTTCTCTACTTCATTCCTAAACTCCTTGAACTTTTCAAAGGCTTCAGATTTATATCTCATTAGGTACACGTACCCAAATCTTGATTTGTCATCAGTAAAGGTAATGAAATAGGAGTATCCTCCTCTAGCCTCTATAGACATTGACCCACAAACATCAGTGTGAATGAGTTCTAATAACTCACTATCCCTATGACTCTCAAGCCCCTTGGGTTTGTGACAAGTCATTTTCCCAGCTAGACAAGATTCACATTGTCCATAGGATTCCAAATCCATGGAATCTAGGTATCCATCTGCATGCATCCTTGACAATCTTGTTTCGTTTATGTGCCCTAGTCTACAATGCTAAAGATAAGATTGATTATCTATCCTAGGTCGTTTCACAGCTACATTGAGAACTTCAGTTCTCATTTCCAGTACGTACAATCGATTTATTAATGAAGCAGTACCATAAACAATATCATTCAAAATGATAGAAAATGTATCATTCTTAATACTAAAAGTAAAACCATCTTGTTCTAAACAAGAAATAGAAATAATGTTTCTAGAAATGTTCGGAACATAAAGACAATTATTCAAATGCAATAAAAGGCCCGTAGGCAAAATAAGGTCGACATCTCCAACAGAATGAGCATTTTAGAACATTAGTTTTGGTAATAGGCATTTTAATTTTTTTAATAATATAATATATTAATTATAGATATTATTCACTTAAAGATATTTTCTGAGATCATGATTTGTAACACTAATTTTCAAAATAATAGGATTAATGTTATTTTAGCAAGTAATAAATATTCATTTAAAATTTAAATATAATATTAAATTAGTAAAGAAAGTGAAAATTATATATATGTGTGTGTGGATTAATTATTTGTCATGTCACTGACCATCCTGTAACCTAAAATTACGTCATTTTGGATATTTATTTTTCTCTCTTCTTTTATCACCATTGACCCACCTTTGTATAGTTATGATTCCTCAACTTGACAAATCCTTACGTCAAGTGACTTGACATCCGATTAACCCTATATATATATATATATATATATATATATATATACATATATATCTATATATATATTGGGGGTGTTCGCGGTTTGGATTGGATCTATTTTGAAAGCAAAAATCATACGATCCGATTCCTTTGGTTTGATGTAATCATTCATTCGGTTTGAATTTTTTTTCAAATTCGATCCGATCCAATCCTATTTTTTTTCAGTTTGGATTGGATCGGTTTTCGATTTTTTGAAAATCCTAAAATTAGTTTCATAATTATTGTGCAAATAACATCTTTTGTATATATTGATTTTGTAAATTTATCATTTTTGAAATACGAAAACATCAATAAAAGATAATATAGTTTTTTTTTGGGCAATGAGATATGAAGCTCTACACAGATGAAATTTTGTTAATAAAATGTGACTAGATTTTTTCTTGGGTTTAGAAATTATTGGGTTATGATTGGAGAAAAGTCCAAGTAGGTAGAGGGAAATTAATATATTGGATCGGTTTTCATCATCCCATCCGAAAACCGCTCCAATCCAATTAAAATTTGCAGTTTTTTTTTTCAATTTTTCAGTTTTTCGATTTTCGATTTATTCGGTTATCAGTTTTTCGGTTCGGTCAACGCGGTTTGAATCGATTTGGATTGGTTGATGAACACCCCTATATATATATATATATATATATATATATATATATATATATATATATATATGGTAAAATTATTTCTGCAACCGCTTTACGTACAACAACGACATGTGTATGGTTATGATTCTCCACATTTAATGCTTTCATCTTTTGTATGGTTATGATTTCCTGCATTTAATTCTTTCACGTATATATATGGCAAGTATTTGATTGCTGCACGTACAACAGCTGCAGAAATGTAAACCCTTATATATATAGGGTTTAGCGGATGTACAGTGACTGCACCTAAGGATTGGTGCAGTCATATAAAACTACGTCGTTTTATAGTGTAAAAGCATTAAATATGAGGAATCACAACCATACAAAAACGAAAATAAATTAAAACATTAAATATGGGGAATCATAATCATACAAAGGTGGAAACAAATATAGTATTTCTATTTTTACAAATAATTTTGAACGCGAACTTCCTTTATCCATGTAAAGAACCAATTCAACCTAAAAGCTAAAGTTTTTGGGTGAGGCTACATTAATGGTTTTATATATCTCAACACGCCCCCTCACACGAAAGTCAACTGGGCTTGAAGGATGGACGATGCACAGGCCCACCTACCTGTGCGAAGAAAGAAATTCCACTAGAAAGAAAGTGGGGGACGATGAGGATCGAACTCGGTACACCGAGGCTCTAATACCATGTAAAGAACAACTTCAACCCAAAATCTTAAGCTTTTGGGTGAGGCTACATTAATAGTTTTATATCTCAACAATCCCAACCAAAACGACATAGTTTTTAGGTGACTGCATCAATGCTTATATACAGTCACATTACAAATCATTTTGCCACACACACACACACACACACACACACACACACACACATATATATTTATATGTGTGTGTGTGAAAGGATTTTATTGACAAACTTTTTTTTTACAAACTTACAATTTACTAGTGAATTACCCGTGCCGATGCACGGGAAAAAAAATTGGTTTGTTTGGCATGGTGGGTTGGCCCTCCGGGCCGAACTCATTTTATCAGTATTTCAAAGGTCCCAAACAGTCATTTTTTTAAATAACAAAACAGTCATTCATTGTTACATTAAAAATATGAAAGAAAATAGGATAATAAATGTCATATCTTTGAAGATAGATAAGGAAAAGAGACGCGAATAAACAATCATTTTTTTTGTCTTTACCTGTACCATACAACGAAGTTATATCTTTGAAGAAAGAACCCAATATACTATAGCAGTCTTTGAAATACTTCCTTGTAAACTATATTAAGGGTACTATTCGTAACGCAGCCATTTTCATCAAGTATCAATATCTTCAATCCATGCTTACTCTTTACTCTAGACAGTGCCACATATAATTGCCCATGAGTGAAGATAGGCTTAGGGAGATAAATTGCAACATGTGAAAGTGATTGTCCTTGACTCTTGTTGATAGTCATGGCAAACGATACAATCAGGAGGAATTGTCTTCTTTGGAAATTTACAGGAAATGTATGACTCGATGGGCTCATCGTCATTCTAGGGATTAACACAATTTTCCTTATATTGCTTCCTGTAAGTACAATTGCCTCAACAACATGATTCCCTAATTTTGTAATAAGCAATCTCGTGTCATTGCATAAACCTCTCGACTGATCAATATTTCTTAATAGCATTACTGGAACTTTAACTTTCAAGATTAATTTATTATCAGGAATCCCTGAGCATGATAATGTATTTAAGATCTCAGGGGTGATTTCATCATCCTCAACAGAGGAAGTCCCACCTTGCTTAAGAATTTTATCTGAACTCAAAAAAGTCCTTTCTTCAACAGGAATCATAGACATTAGGTGCTCGTTTAGCATAGCAACATCGGACAATTTAGGAGTTAGAATAACACGTTCTTTAAAGAAGGTCTGATCCAAAATATTATCCAAGAGATTCGGATAAACAAAATTAACCATATCCGACAGCGGATCTTCCGATTCTCTAATCAACAATTCATCTGGAATTGTTATAATAGATTCTCCATCAACATCATCTCCAAGATTACCATCCCCAACTTTAAGTAGCCACTCAGAAAATTCTTTTATTTCCTCTAAATTGTGAGCGCTACTTCCAGAATTAAGACGCATGTTCTTGGTCAAAGTTAATAAATGACAATGGGACCATAGATGAGAAGAATTGATGGTTGCATGAACTATATCTTGTCTGCTGCCATGAGGAATGACAGGTAATATTTGCTGAAAGTCACCTCCTAGAATAACAACTTTTCCACCAAATGGCATATCAACACAGCTTGAATCAGAAATTCTAAGAACATCTCTCAGTGTCCTATCCAGAGCCTCAAAGCAAAATCTATGTACCATTGGAGCTTCTTCCCAAATGATTAACTTTGTTTTTGACAGCAACTCAGCTATAGTAGATTTCGGCCTTATATTACACGTTGAATCTTCATTGATTTGAATAGGAATACGAAATCTAGAATGCGCTGTTCGTCCTCCAGGAAGCAGAAGGGAAGCAATTCCGCTAGAAGCAACATTAAGTACGATTCCAACTTTTGATCTAATAGATGCTGAAAGAGTATTCCAAATAAATGTTTTTCCTGTACCACCGAACCCGTATAGGAAAAATAACCCTCCATTACCTGCCGTAACTGCTGAAACAATTTTATCATAAACAGCTTTCTGCTCATCAGTGAGGGAATTAATTAGTCTTTTATGCTCCTCTTCCAAAGCAAATCTGTCATACATTAATTCATCCAACACTAATCGATTTTGCATATCAAGCAAAGTTTCACTATTGATGCGTGGCATTGACGGATAATCAGAGAGGCATTTCCCATTGCTCTGCAGTACCTTATCAATTTCTTCAAGAGTTATGTTTTTTATAGACTCTTCTGTAAGAATTGCATCTGACAAAGCATAAAATTCAAAGGAAAAAAAAATAAAAAATTAACAAAGATAAAGTAATCAAAGAAAGAAAAGAGAGCGAAATAAGTACTAAAGCATCATTTGCTGAATGCGAGAAAAAAAAAAGCACTAAAGCAACATTTGCTGAATACGGGCAAAAAAAGCACTAAGGCAGCATATGCTGATTTCGGTTAAACAAAAAAGAATTGTATGAAATATTATTATAACACGTAGAAGTCCTAAAGAATAGCACGCATCCTTAAATGTAGTAAAAACCACGCCATTGATCATTCTAAGATCTTCATAACTGGTG